ACAATAAAATAAAAGATCCAACTGTATGCGCGAATTTGTTGAAATTCAACTATATAATTAAGAAATACATATTAGTAACAAATAAATAAATTGAGATTACTCTCAGGCTCTATAAGTCTTATTAAACTAATAATATCTGAATATAGAGAAATTAAGAGCCGTTCACAGGATGTTGTGCGTGAATGTGCTTATGTCTATATATATATGTGTGTGTGTATACACATATAAACGAATTCACGTTTTCACGTGTTTTTGAATTGAACTTTTCAATTCATAAAATCATACAGGATGCTATACTTGCATCTCATGTATGAAGGACCCCGTATACCCCCCGAACTAATTTTAAAATATTGCGAAAAAAAAACTACCGGAAAGCCGGAGATTCCAGGTTCGACTCCTGACTGAGGAGTTTTTTTCGCAATATTTTAAAATTAGTTCGGGGAGTATACGGGGTCCTTCATACATGAGATGCAAGTATAGCATTCTATGTATGATTTTATGAATTGAAATTTCAATTCAAAAACACGTGAAAACGTGAATTCGTTTATATGTGTATACACACACATATATATATATAGACATAAGCACATTCACGCACAACATCCTGTGAACGGCTCTTAATGTCCCTATATTCAGATATTATTAGTTTAATACGAAATAAATGTTTAAACATATTCAAATGTGTAAATAATTATAATATTGAGAGTATTCATAAAATATATGCACCGATTATTTTGTTTTTTTTTATAGTAACGTCAAACTCTATTATCCCTCACGAGATATGAAATAAACGTTTTCCAAGAAATATCACAAAATAGGCGTATAATGAACTCATTCACTTTAATGAATCGGAACACACGTTTTTTGAGAAACCGAGCCTTTTGCTTCGGATCTGCTTTATCAGAGTAATATTAAAAATCACGGTTTTTTTCTAATATTGCTCCTCTTGAAAATCGGCCGAGAGTTGCAAAACAACATTTTGTAAAACGAAACAAAAAAACTTTTTGTCACATATATAGTCTAAACTATACGGTAGTTAAGACAATATAAGCTCTTTCATTTTTAATTAGGATGCATCAAGTTTTTTTAATTGCAACAAAACTCAGTTAAAGAAAATTTCAAACACACAAATGATTTTATTGGTGCGTATTATTTGTCGCCTCATCGTGCATTAACCCCTTGGGTACGGATTTATTTGAGAAAATATTTGCATGTGGAACAGATATAATTTTTGGTTGCTTGGAGTAGTATGTAAAAGCGGTACATTTTACGTAAGAATTTATTTATTTCTAAAATATTGGTGACATATGTAGTATTAAGATGTCTTCAAGTAATTAGAATTGCAAAACAAAAATAAATTAATAACAACAAAAGAAGAAAGTGAATGACGTGTCTCAGACGTCAAA